ACTCTCAATATGTAGCCGCAGTGCGAAGCCGTGACCTTCGAAATCTATTACATCTTCGAGATCCATGAGAATATAAATCGACAACGAAACATAGATGGGCCAGTCACATAATGAGAAGAACAGACGACAGACGGACGGAAAGGACAGTAGAGTGGACTCCAAGAGAATGCAAACGTCCCCTAGGACGACCACCTACACGTTGGGCGGACGTGTTCGTAAACAAAGTTAATCACTTGTACCCGCAGCTGCAATTGCTTTACAGATCACGGTATGAGACTCGTAAGCGCTACCATGCTCGAACAAGACCACCACCATGGACTACGATTGCGAGAGAGAGGAACGAATGGCATATGTGCTGGGGTCCGCACAGCTCGTGAAGACGGACCGTCCAAGTATCCAAGTAAGTAAGGAAGTCCCTTCATATATAGGTAGCATATCACTGGGGGGAGAATAGCAAAGCGGCACTTGTACCAATCATCACGAGAGGAGTGCTGGTTCGATCCAGCTCTATGCTCATCAAGCCTCCCATCGCTTCGGGTCGGGAAGTTGGGACCGGACTTGTTCAGGAGGAACCCACTCTCCGCAGTCCAATTGGGGACGCTCAAGCCCGGGTATCTCAGGATTCTAGGGAGAATCGACTTGGCCATCATTCTACAACATTGAAAAGCCTGAAGCAACAGCCGAAGCCACACATAAAAGTTGTAAGACCTTTGTGGACGATAGCTATTCAAAGTGGACTTGGTGCTCACATGGATTACACTCTGGATTTTGTACCTCACTCTCACTCTAACTGTTCCGAGGAGCCTTCACTAAAGCCACCTCAGTTATCTCAGCTAGTGTTGAATTTTATTGCATAAGAGGAAAACCTTGGGAAGCCACCAGCCTTTGCCCAGCTGGCAGGGCTGCTTATCCCATGGTGATGGAGTTCCAATTTCCTTTGTGGTTCATCTTTTCACGAAAGCATTTGCGGTTATTTGCCGCGTTAGCTCTGTAAATGTTAAAGATATTGTTCCCATTTTCTAACATCCTAGGTTTATATAGATTCAACAAAAAAACAACATGTTATCAGAATCCTATACATCCCTAAGACGTTAGAGCAAAGTCTGTTTTGGAAGTCTTTGATGCTCTCAACTTCACAACTGCACCAGTGATCGAAAAATTATCAGCAGTTATCGGAATCGCCAGTACTGCCCCGAATATGTTGAATAATAGGTGTCATGTTATTTTTGTAGCTTCAACGAATTCCACATTCTTTTGAAGAAATATTCTTATTCTGCAAAAAAACGTGTTTATCCCAAAATTCTATAAACAGCCATATTCGTACCGTTCTAAGGGCTCGTGTGGCGCAGTGGTCGGAGGCGCCCTGCAACACACGTGGCATCGACCGCCGTGCCCATGACCCACCAAGCCTTCCATCCTTCCGGAGTCTGCAAATTGGTACCAGACTTGTCTGCTAGGATAACAACACTGGCTCGATACATTGTTAGGTCACCGCGAGTCATTGTAAAGGCCAGATATGCATTCGATCACCTCCAAACGATGCTTAATGAAGTCGAATGCACGGCGCATCCCTCAGAGATTGATCAACGCCGAAAGCTATTTTACTGTTCCAAGCTAATGGTTTCAACAATGAATTGGATATTATTACAAATACATGGAAAGGTTCGATTTTTCAGGTTATTTGGAGAACTCCTTTTTCTAACACGACTTGCCATCACATGTTGCGCGAATAACAGCAGTTCTTCCATTCTATTTGATCGTTCGTGTCCATCGTCACGAAGGTATTCAGGTTTTTTATGTGACTTCAGTTGTGCCGTGAGGTTTTTTAGGATTCCTTATGAATGTCGTTAAAGGAATCAGGGCTCTGCGTGTATTGAATACCATCGCTACCACAAAGCTAGTCACGGCCCAGAACATCTGTTTAAGGTACCCATAAAAATACAACCATAGGGATATTGAGATGGCAGGAAAACTCGGAACCTGCTTCGATTTCGCGGTTATCCTTTTCGAGAGCTCACGTGCTATCCACCACACCAATCTAAGCCCTTGCCTGGCCTTTCTCTCAGCTATGTTTTTACTCTATCAGTGCTATTTCACAACATACCCTGCCATGAAAAAAGCATGGGAAGAAAATAAAAGCTAAAACATCTGTCATTGTATTGTTTGTAACAGAATTTCCTGTAAAGCCCTGCATTGACTTATCAATGCGACAAAGTTGCGATTATTATCAATTATTGTGAATAGCACAGTGGTCAGTGATGCCGTCGATCAGGAAACAAGAGCGCTAATTCGATCTCCACCACAACGCTCTCCACCAATCTACGTGGGAACGCCTTAGTCCGGCTATCTCCAAGATTACAAGCATAGTTGACCCACCTAGCATTCTACTACATTGATAACAAAGATGAAATTCTCAAGGAGCAGCTGAAGCAACATGCGAAATGTTCGAAGACAATTGTGAATGTTGGATTCGAAAAAACGAACCGAATGCAAGAAGTGCTAGGTCGTGCAAAAGAAAAATTATCGTGAAGCATTATTCATCGGCTCTGAGTTAAGACGATAAGATAGTTAACAAAAGTAGTTTTCATAACATGACCCATCATCACATCTACTGTGCAGGTCCCAGGACTCCCAGGATCTTGCACTCGATTCCTTTCGTTGCATCCATTAGCCAAGAATGCCTTCGATCTTTTCAAATGTGGGTTCAGCTGCTGCTTAAGGACTGCTATCTTCTTTATGAATGTCGTTGAATGTCGGTCGAGTCCATTCTCTCAAGCTCTGGAAAAGCCGTGCAAGAGCGTTCCCACATTGACTGGAGAGACTTGGTTGAGTGCGGACAAGTCTGGTACCAATTTCTCGACCTCGAGGAGATAAGGGGCCTGATGGGGCTCGGTGTGGGCTTGAAACAGCACCGTGTTCACGGTGAACAGTATAACTACAACTACGCTGTCCATACCTACCAAAGAACAATTCCAGACAAGCAAAACACAGCACGGTCGCCATTCATTCAAATGATTCATATACAAAGTGGTATGAGATCATCAATGAGAACATTACAGACGTATTACACATAAAGTACGTACTGTAAGGCAGTATAAGCACTGAAATGTAATGTGATCATATCATAATGAAATCGATTATAGTAAACAGTTAAAAATGATTAAGCGGTCAACTAAGATTGGAATTGGATAGCAGAAAAACAACGTAGAACACAAAGAACACTGAATTAAATGGAGCTTTCACACATTCGTGACGACTGGAATTGTTTTCAATGCGCATGCCCTGGAAGCGCTTCCGCCTTCCATTTTTGAACAAACATTTCTCGACTTATCGCTAATTTTATTAATTCAAGTACGGAGGTCACAAGCTGATTTTTAATACATGTAGTTTCAGTAAAAGCTGGTACATCGTAAAGTAAATAGGGCGAACAAGCATAAGTTCATGCTAAGGAAAAGCGAGCGAACAAACAGAAGTTCATGGTGAAAGTAGGAGAGGGAAGAAGTAGAAGTTCAAGGTAAAGAAAAGAGCGAGCAAGCAGAAGTTCATGGTAAGGAAAAGCGAGCGAACAGGCAGAAGCTCATAGTGGAGTAAGGAGAGAGAAGAAGCAGAAGTTCAAGGTAAAGTAAGAAGAGCGAAGAAGCAGAAGTTCATGAAGCACAACATGATATTTCGAAAAAATCTGTTAAATGTCATTGGTTGTCTTGTTTGTGCCTAAAAATTTATCTCTCTGTTGTATTCACACTTTTCATCTTTAACTGAACGATTCCAAACAGCACTTCGCCAGCTAGAATACCATTCTGATGGGAGATGAAAAAGTTTCTTCCTTACGACTATGAAGCTCCTGATTTCTTTACCTCTTCATTAATATAGAAATTATCCACCGTTGTCGAAAAACTGGCTTCGTTGCGAATGTGTTAAATGAAACTGTAGTTTCATCCAATCTGAAGTTCGTTCTTCGCGGAATATTAGAATAACATTAAGGAAATGTCTATCCATTGAATGGTTGAAAATTGTCTCAAGGAAGGTACACTACGACATCCAACTTTCTGGAACCCATTGCGTATCGTTTCTTAATAGCTCAAGAGCATCTGTTAACCTGAAAAAAAGACGTTGAAGAAACAGTATGTGAATCATGTTGGAACTGAAGAGTATCCAATGCAAAATGCGACTAGAACTCAAAAAACTATCGCGAGGTTATCAGGATAAGTGGAGTGGATCATACTGATATTAGACTAGAGTACCAGGATTTGAAATGTTACGGCTACGTAAATGTAGCGAAATATTATAAACGAAGTATCCGAAACCTCCCAACGGTTTAGCCCCTCAGAGATGTCCCTGGGTATCCGGCTGCTATCTACAGCGGGGAGATTTATCCCCTGGAAAGACCTGCCAAGCTGAGAAGGAGTTTGAAGTTTCGATCAATAAGACCAGCTAAGAGTAAGGCAATACCAGGATCCACCACCGTCCTGGTACCAAACTAGTCGTAAGGTGGCAAATTTCTCTGTGATCCACAAGGGTGACGGCTGTCTGTGGTGGTGAAGATCTGGGGCAGATTTTGGCCAGGCCGACCTCGGGATTCCACGGAACCACAGTGGCTTAACTAGCAAATCTTCGAAAAATGGAGATTATGCTGGGGCCCGCATAACCGGTGAGGACGGGCTGTTCAAGTATTATGTAAGTTACAATCTTAACCATTTTATTTACTGCCTATTCTTTTTTACGGCAAGGTATTTTGCGAAATATAACTATTGTAATGCTGAGATATTTGCAAAACTCCGGACCGCAGGTGCTTGCGGTGGGGAACGAGTCTATTGTCCTTTCCAGGTAGTAACGCGCTCACCACCACACCATGCGGGTCCTTCGTTTCGCCTGTCTCTCAGCTAGTTCTGTCGATCTTTTGCCATTAGCAATCACCCGTCAACGGGACTGAATTATGTAAGTATCTGAAAAAGCTGAACAATGGGAGTCTTAAGCCGTCCTAGTTCCAATCCTATAAATTTTTACCTTTTAAATGTAACATCCATATTTCGATTCATTAAAGTAAGATGAATTTGATCTGCATAAGGACCATTTGCGATTTTATCGCTTTCAGCACATACCTTAAAAATAAGAATAAGAAAGTAGGAGATGTTATAATGATTGATAAGACGTCATCGAAAGCAACAAAGCTGAAGCTAAAACATTCGGTGTCGATCGGTTCATAAGGGATGTGCCATGCACTCGACTTCATCAAGCGTCATAAGAGGTGGTTAAAATACATATCTCGCCCGTAAAGTTATTTTTGGGAATTTACCTATCATTCAAGCCAATACTACCGTCCTCCCAGACAAGTCTGATACCCACTTGCAGATCCAAGAGAGGTGGAATATTTCGTGACTCCCGGGAGCGGGAATGAACCAAGAACCACCTGTGTGCTGCAGGGCATCACTAATCGCTGAGGTGCATGCGCCCTATAAAAAGTAGTATTGATAAAAGTAGGCATACGTTGCTCAATTGATCCACTGGTCGTCTTTGATGTCGAAGATTTTCCAGCTGTAAAAACTCCTCCAGTGGCGGTGGGATAACATGTACAACAAAAGGCATAAACTCCGAATTATAGAGATATGAAAGCGCTTGTGGTGCGCAATCGAGCACACACACTCGTCCACTTCGTACAACAGATCGCACGTCGTCTGCGTATGTACCTACAAAGTAAACTGCTCATTATTTTCTCAGCTAACTACGAAAATTCAATATTACATTCTCACCATAGAGTCTGCCGTTCAATTCTCCCCATTCAATCATTTCACCTCCTCGAATTTTTTGCAGCATTTCCGCTTTAGTAACGAAATGATAGTCACGGCCTTCTTGCTCGCCGGGTCGAGCTTGCCTCGAGGTCTCTAGAAAAAGACTACAGGATGTATGTATGTATGTATGTATGTATGTATGTATGTATGTATGTATGTATGTATGTATGTATGTATGTATGTATGTATGTAATGTATGTATGTATGTATGTATGTATGTATTGGCTCGATACAGCGGTATGTCACCGCGAGTGATTGTAAAGGAAAAATGCATTCACCCACGTCAAAACCATGCTTAATGAAGTCGAACGCATGGCGCCTCCCTCATGGATTGATTTGCGCCGAGAGCGTTATCCTTTATCCTTTATCTACATTCAGTTAAAGAGGAGCAGTATCAGAAGAACTACTCAACGAGTATGTTCTCATTGGCAACGAGAAAAATTCGTTCTCGAATGCAAGGAAGAGCGACCAAAGTGGATTTGTATCAACGATGGTCCAAAAAGTTAGCTTGATAACTTTTGTAAGATGGACAAGCGAATCGAGCGATAACGGGCTGTGATAGACAGATGTGGCACATATATGCATAGCAGATGACTTACGAGGCACGGCAGTAGCAAAATATTGTGGAGAAGAACGAAGCAACATGGATTTCAACGTTCTCCGGCCGACGCCTACAGCACCAAGCAGCACGAGCACTCTGCGACCATACGGAGAAAGCATAGCTACCTGTGCAAAAGAACAAGACAAATTCGTGGATAAGATTTTGGCAAGAATTAAGTTAAAGCCCACAGGTACCTTTTCTTTGAATAACGTCGCTGGAAGGTAACCTACTCGAGACAAGTCATTGACTTTTCGAGCCTAAAATGAGTGAGATTTAATTTAAGAGTGCCGGAGATGTAATTTGTTTGAGTGCGAATTGTTTGTTAACCTTCATAGCATGTAATCCTGCTAATCTATTGACTTCAGTGGGCACTATTAAATTCTCCATCTTTTTCTTCAAAAATTTCCAGTAGGAAAGGGACATTTCTTTGCTCCATGGTAGAGCTCAACGAGCTATCTGTGGCCGCCTTATCAACAGAAAAAATGAGAATAAGGAGCCTTATACCTAATCTGCTCCTCAAGCAATCGGATCAACGATCCCTTCACCTATTCTTACTACACGAGACGTCTGCGCACGAGCTTCACCACTGGTTTCTGAGATCTTGAAATTAAGTTTTCGTATAGGTTGCGATGTGTTTGTGTAATTCGTCGACTTGAGCTCGAATGAGGTCAACAGTGATGTTCTCTAGCTCAAGAACTACTCCCTCTATGTTTTCAACAGCAACTCGTATTTCAGAAGAAAATCCTCCTTTGGTTTCCTGAAGTCGCTATTTAAGATTCTGATACGAGAATTGTGGTACTTTGAAGATTGAAGTGGTTACCAATTGTTGATTGTACACATGGAGCGGTAGTAGTGCAAACCACATTTCATTGGTAAAGGTTCCGATAACTCCGAACTGCTTCATTTTTGAACTGTATTCATTATTTTGACTCTTGTCCGACTTAATTTCCAAGCGTGTTCTACAAGCTCATTACAGCGGTAATCCTACCATATATTTCAAGAAATTCTGATTGTGTCTGACCAACTGACTATCGTGGGTTTTTTGAAAGCACCGTACGAACTACATCCAGCCGAGCGTTACCCTGATTGTGCTACCAGGCTGAATGGACTCGTATGCATAAAAACTCCAGCCGACTTCATAACAATACACCTAGTCCATCGTCCTCCTACCATTACCGAACATAAAATAGTTTCCTAATTAATTCAGAGGAGCGACTTTCTATAAAACTCGACGTTAATAATTAACATACACACTTCTTACGAACTGCCCTTGTTGAGCTGACACGCAAGTTCAGTACCGGTGGCTGCTGCTGTTGTTGTGGTCCGATGACCCACGTTTCGGCGACTTCGCCTTCTTCAGAGCCATTTTACAAGGTGTAGGACCACGGAAAAGGAATTGCATATAAAGATGACTGCAACAAGTGCTGTGTTGGAGCCTCTCAAAGAAGCTGGTCTAATCAGAAGTGTAAATTTCTTCATACCATCACTTTTCCTAAGGTTCTGCTATACAGTTGACACATTGGTTTCCATACGCCACTTGGATTTAGAAATACAAACGGATCACACAGCATCCAGTTGGAATATTATTCCTTTAGACAAAAATTTCACATTCGTTATGTCGCGGGATTTAAATCTGAAGTGGAGTAAGGATACGTGAGCTATGAGATCAGAAGACCCAAACCCTAATAGAACATAAACATCTCGACAGCAGACACATAATAGATCTGCGGACGTGTTTCTGCTCATGCCACTAGCTGTGACGTCAATCTTTGTGATTTTGGAAGTATGCTGCATTCTGGGCTTCCGTGGACGTCAATCATGAGTTAATGGAAAGAATTGAAGTCCTTCTGGTGCCAACAAGTATAATGAAGGTGAATATTATAAGTCTCTAAAAAAGTAAATATTACCTGAAACCAATTATCATCCTGGCTCATAACTTGGACGACATCCCCTTTCTTGACGTCGATAGATAGCCAGCGGCAGATTCGTGAATCATCCAAATCCGAGCTGTAGTCAGCATTTACACGATAGAAGACCTATAATGACATCGTCTAAGGCTCTAAAATACAGTAGTAACACTGGAAATAGCCCCGCTGACGGGTGATTGCTGTGGCAAAGATCGATAGAAATAGCTGAGAGAGAGACGAAACGAAGGACCCGCATGGTGTGGTGGTGAACGCGTTACTCCCCGGAAAGGACAATAACGCGTTCGTTCCCCACCATAGACACCTACGGTCCAGAGTTTTGCAAATATCTCAGCAACGTTGTGACTGCAAATAGCTTTCAGAAGGTTTTGTGCACGGTTTTTTGGCCAAATGTTTGAAAAGAGCCCAAGCATTTGACCAAATTTTCAATATAAGAGGATACATTGGTATTCAGAAGTGCTACTCCTTAGGAAAGTACTCCAATAATGTAGTGGTTAGTGGCGCCGCATCAAAAATAAGTGATGTTTGTATAGGTGGTGGACAGTGAAACCTACTGAAGGAGCACTATGGATCGCGGCTGGCACGAGCGTTAGAGTTACACGTCCACTTAGATTCGAAATTGTTTCTTGATTAACGGCAGGTTTTCCGTTCACATGAGTTATGGTATCGCCAGGATGGATATCATGAGTTGCCAAGGCGTTCACACGTGTCACAACCAACTGTCTTGAGATTGTCTCGACTTCAACCTAAAATAAGTAAGCGATAATATCACACGGTAAGATCGCTAGCTCATAAGAAATTGACGCCCGTAGTAGAATCACCATAAAAACATTATGAAAATGCTTGAATACGAAGTCTCAGGTCTCAATCCAGTCTGTGTAGAGGATGTGCGCATGGCCAGTATTTGATGTTTAGCGTTAAAATGCTATGCACTTTGTTAAATATTCAGTTCCTAAAGACCATTAACAGAATGTTTACTACTGTTAATAATGATGAGAGTAATGAGCAAGAGCATTTTTTGGAGATAAAGACAATTATTTGGGAGCCATTAATAAATCCCACAGTGACCAGATGGCAATTATATCGGATGGATTGCTAAAGCTACAATCGTGCAGTCTATATTGTGACAAATATAAGGTCTGTACACAGCTGTGCAAAACGAAAACGATTCTGGTAGAGATATAGACTGTCCAGCACTGAACACACTAAATAAGCTTAAGTATTAGAAGAGCAGTAGCCAAAGGTGCCCTGTAATACGCACGTAGTCTTTGGTTCGATCTGCATTCAAGGCAAAACAAACTGCCATTCCTCTAAGCTTGAAAAATTGTTACCAGACTTGTTTGGGAGGATAACAGCTCTAACTTGATACATTGCCAGGTCCCAGTAAGTTATTCTACAGGTCGGATATCCATTCAACTACCTGTATGGTACCGGATGAAGTCAAATGTATGGTGTATCCCTAAGAGACTGAGCAATGCTGCACACATATACGCTTTATTTTATCCTACAAAAGAAGTTATACTCGCAATAACTCTAATAACAGGCCTATAAGCTATGACGATGTGTCATTGTTAACAATTCTATCTCCCAATTAAATACGAAATGGAATGAGTCGTAAGGAATGTTGGGAAAAATAATGTTGAATGAAAAACAGGTTGGAAATTTCCCATTATAGTGGAAGATACTTCAACGTCTGTACCAACATTTCAGCAGACATTATAGAATGGTAGACGTGCCAGGTGACAAACGCGTAGGGAGGAATCGTAAAAGAGATAGCTTAGCTTAGTAATATCTCAGTAGCTTAGCTCAGCGACAGCTCTCATTTACACTGAGTCAGACGTTATGAAGCAATTATCTAGAAGTCATGCATTTCTTTTCCTTTTGTTTGCACAGATATCGATTTCTACTATAATACGGAAGTATAGACGAGGGCAGGAGAACCACAAGCGCGGAGTGTGCCAAGATATCTCCATTCATAAACAGAAATGCGTGAGTCTTGCCGCGATTTCCTAAAAATTCTGTACTGGCTGAGCAACATAACATGATACAAATAAATAAGGTACTTGTTGTTCTAACTTTTCTGTGATGGGAAATGGTCAGAACGGACCTATTAGCGGTGTATGGCTCACGATACGCACGGCGAAGATTTAGTGGTCCCATGAGGCACTCGTGAGTATGTTAATTGCTTCTTGAGTGCCTCGGACATAATCCCTAGACTGATTCGAACACTGATGTGGGTAATCACGACGTCATAGAAGGAACTTCATAGTAATTATAGCTCCACCTACAACCGAGTATCAACGTCCATAGGAGAAACATCTACTGAACATTTTACATCACTTGAAAATCAGCTACAAAGATATAGTTGGCAAAGCAAATGCTAACTTTAAAAAAAAGTGTGAATACAGCTAGTAAGAATACGATAACGCTTTTGAATAATGCCAGAGATATGAACTACTGCGTTCTGGCACTTCATACTGATAACATCATTTATAACTTTATCCTCTCTAAACTATAAGAAGCAGCTTAAGTAAATTTTCAAAACTGCTCAGGACATTCCGTTCGCGTGAGTTGCGCGAATGGGCTCACTCATTTTTGTTACGAAGCCCTTTATTTTAACTGTCTTAGGTGAGAACGTGGTCACAGGTTTCCCGTGATGTAGGCATGCTCTTAGTCAGACTCCCGAGTGGAAGTGTGGAGGCTTTTTCTAGCTTTTGCAAACAGACGCTCGTTGTGAATCGTCGTTCGATGTCCAGAATACTCGCAGCCATGGCGAAGCAGTAAATCATTAGTGAACAGAAGGACACAGGAAAGCACGAAGGCCGCTAGTTAGACGATGCACATGTTTAACCTTCTTTTTTGTATTTAATTTATGAGTTTGTTCTCTAAAATACAGCCGAATGGCTCCATATACACTGCAAACGCGCAGTACTCTCTTAGCAACGAACGGTTACTTAGACCTTGTTGATCTAAGTGCAAAGTGGATCTTTCGATTGAGAGTAGTCCACTGTTACTTTACACTAATGTAACTCTTCTCATAATCGTAATCGTATCAAAGTTGTAATTTTCCAATTATTTCTCCAGTGATTATTACGGGCTCATTAAGTATTATCACTTTTTGAGGAATACTGTTAAGCGGTCAACATAATATACGGTTAGACGTGAAAGTAAAAGACATTGACTAGAAATGCTACTAACCTGGTTTAGCTGTCTGGCGTCAATGTTCACCGCTCGGGATTGATAACCTGGGCTAAGTATCCTGCCGTTGCTAATCGTTGGAAAACTTGGCAGTGAGTCGAGTGAGAGCGCTTGGACGGATTTAGTTTTGAGCGCCGTTTCCGTAATGACGTCACTTTTCTTCAACCCAGTTCTCGGACCGTCCATGTTCACTGAATCCTGGGGATCAGCATGTTCGTTCTTCATAGAAAGTTCTTCATCATTGGCGGCCGTCTCGTTAAAGGTCCCTGAGCGCGGCTTTTTCTCTAGGTTCTCGATTCGCTCTCGAAGCGCATCCAGGCAGCGGCTCAAATTATTCGCATTGACACGTAGCGCAGCCAGTTCTTGGCTGTCATTCATAGTCGACGACGGTGGTTCAGGAGATAATGCATACGATGAAGCTGCTATGTGGGGCGGTCTTGGAGTCAATGGTTGGTTGCCTGTGGCTCTGCGTCTTCGTTCATAGCCTCCCACGAATCGATGCCGCATAGGCCTCCCGATTGCCGAACCGGTCGAGATGGAGGCTAGAAAATGAGATATTCTCGCTAATAACCCTTTCACAACCTCTCTGGTTCTACAGGGCAATGAATGTCATCATATCTCCAAGAAAACGTTCCCTAAAGAAAATAATTAGTTATGAGGGCTTTTTCTGCATCGACCTGTTCGTGTGAAATATAAGGAGTGAAAGCGAAATAATACTCTTCTAATGTTGGCTATTTGTGTAAAATTAAGCTTCTCCTCTATAAGATTATGGACGGAAGAAGTTAGATTTGTTCTCGCGGGCCCTCGTATATTGGGGTACTTCATTCGGTTTTATTACGCTTTATTACCCTTTCTTACATGTTAGGGCTTGAGCCAATAAGTATTCGCAGTTTCGGAAAAAAACTTTAAAACTCATTCTCATTCAGAGGCATAGAAATGAAGGGATATCGGTTGCTTACGGCTACCAATAGAATCACAGGGCTTTCCTCTCCAACTCTTACAAGATCAAAGTTGAACAATTCTCAAAATGTTGTTTCTGTCAAGGATTTCACTGCTAAGAAGTGTCTGAAACAGTAAACAAACTTATCAAAAACGTCCTGTCATTAACTACAAACCTTTTATGGCGCGGCATTCAATTCATGTCGTTGTAACTGCCAACTGAGTCCGAAAGGGTAATTGAGGCTTTCAAGTTTAAATCTTCGAATGAAGAGTGAAGACATCACTAGGAAATGATGCTTCTTTTCTAAAAGTACGAATTAATGTTTAACTTAATTTTCTTTCTTCAGCTTCAGTCTCAAACTGAAGAGTCTTTATCGACATTTCAGATGCTCCCGAGCTTTTTTCATTCCCATTAAACTTTTAAATATATATATATATTTTAAAATTTTCCCCAAAATGTGAAACATTTCAATAACAACCAAGGCTCATATCCATTTAGCCAATCCCGGCATTGATAGTTACGCATTTATGTTCTTCAAAAGATCCCTTACATAAAAAATTTGCAATGTCTCTTTTCTACTATACTTTGGATAACTTTTCGCGCTAATCCTGAAGAAAGGGAAAGGTGGTACGATGTTGCTAAACGTTAAATAAGTTTTCAAGTAAGTCAAGAAGGTCACCCTAAACACCATTCGTTTCCATTGCGCTCCAGAGAACTTCAATTGGGTCTGCTCGCTTAATGGGGCCACGAAGAGCATCACGAATTTGGTTTAGTACCCCCTTCATAACAAAAGAAGGTAGTTACAACCTGGCTTGCTAATTACATAGCACAGGTATTCTCTTAGCCGGATTCTCTGAAGGGAACCGTCAATTTCTTCGAGTTGGGTGTATCTGTTCATAAGATGAACAATCCACCATCTGTAGAAAGGGTAAGCGGTTCAGCTTTGATCAATCCAATAGGGACGCATCATGTATTCGACTCCGTCTAAACGTCGCACAGATGAATACATATTTATCCTGGACAATGAATTACAGGTGCTTACTGATGTATTAAACTACCCTTCGCATGAGCAGAATGGGTCTAAGGCCTGCTGGCAGTCACCTATGCACATAACATTTCTTTTATCGTTCCCTATACCGTGTCAAAAAGTGTTTCTGAGTAGATTTTTGTTAAGATGCATTTATATCAAAGTATTAAAAGTGCTGAATGCATCAGCCAATTGTTGAAAACCACTAGCTCTATAGCTAGTAAGGAAACAGTACTGGCTTATACAAGCTGTTAGGAAGATGATAATTCCGAGTTTCATGATCAATGCATTAGATTTTATCAACTTTGAAACGTTATCGGCTCAAAGCTTTGTTTAGAGATCACCAGAAAGATGCCAATTCCTAGTTTTCAAGGAATTACTAAATTTAATTAGATTAGTAAAGCACGGACAGACCGCTTTTTCTGTGTTGCACCTTGACCAATCAAAATCAGATAAAGGTTTTAATGGAGGGTCAGTCTCTGCAGTGTACATCTACGAAGTGCTCCAATTTCTAAGAGATGAAGCGAAGATGCCAAAAGTTCTTTAATGATTTGAATCGTCCTTCATGAACTTAGGGCCGGATGATAAGAAGATGATCGTGAACTACTTTCTTATTCTGTAAAAGAGAGAACTATACTGGTTTGTGCTCACCTCACCGTGTTTCCTATATTTAGAGAATATCATGGTACTAAACAAAGTAGTCCAGAGGAAAAGAAACCATGTTTTTTTTGCGTAAGCATGATTTTATCGTATGCATGATTGGCTGGTTGTGGAGTGTTTCATTTCATTGGAGTTGTTGGCAGTTTATGTTTGAACATCCCAAGCTCACGATGAACTTGATGGAATCTGTTGCGTTGAATAAACACAAAGTTCTTCTGTAAGTTGTTATCGGAAGATGTCACATGGAAAAAATTGAAGGTGCAGGACCTTCCTTTTTGCAGAGTCCATAAAATTCTAATTACTACTTATCTATTCAGAAAGCTCGCAGTATCGGGTAAGAATGGGGCTGGCGAGGATTGTGTTATGCGAAGGGCTAACGAATTTAACGGGAACTAAGAAACGATTACCGAATGGTTCGTTGATAATGTCTTCTGAATGACATCGCAAATGTAGCACAATTCAGTCGACTCAAGCTTCTGAACACTAATTGTCCTCATTATTGCGGCTCTCTGACATCCGAATTCCAAGAATGGGACCACGTAAATCGTGATTCAAGCTGTTTTCTTGAACATCACACGTTCTCAAAATTTAACGGGACTACCTAAAAAGATGCTTCTTTCTTAAAATGAAGATATTATTGTGCCGCCTCTGTAAGCATTGGCATGGATCAACAATGCGCTGTTTCTTTAATAAGCACACACGAGATTGCTTCTGTGCTATTTATTTATCCACAAACACTGACATTTCAGCGGAATTTGTCTTCTTCAGAACCTGGAAAGACCAAGTTGACTGCAATATAGTCAGCCAAACATACTGTTTGCACTTTCTCTTTAGGAAAGCCGGACTTGAAACACTAAGTAGAGATAGAGAGCAAAGAGTGGGATGTTCACCACTACCGCCATTTCCTCAAACGTTCTGTAGACAACAAGACTCCAGTAACGAATCTAATAGCAAATTTCGGATATCTGCGGATGGAATTTTCAAAGTCCCTAATCATTATCGCAGGATCTCCAACCTCAATAGAAACGCGAAAATGTGGCTTGCGAGAGATTCGAGAGCTGATAAGGTTAAAAAACACTAGCTTTTCCGTTGGTGATAAAAGTCGAGAGTTTGTCGTAATTCGTCTCCAATTAGGTGCTGAGATAACGAAGCATCCTGAAGATGGTTCCCTTCGTCACTGATTATCTGAAAAGGAACTTAGAAGTCAACACAGAAGATTGAACAACGAATAGATCGAAGTGGGAAACCCAGCAGATGTAAAACTATCAGTTATTTCTCAACGTAAACATGAATAATCAACACGTCAAGTATGCACTGAAACACATATGTAAGCAACCACTGATGACGTGACGCCTAATGACCTCTCAACCTTCAAGGTTAGACGTATCACCAGCTGTGTAAACCCACCAAGAGTTAGAATGAGACGGTTCTCAACCCCGATACTTACTCAGCTGCTGAAACACATCCCAGCCCACTTTCCGAATACTTAAATGGTCATGGGTCGACTATGTAACGTGCCTCCTGACAGCGCGTACGTTACTAAATCTTTCGACGCTATCCCCATTAAAACATAATATTTATTTTATATTTATTAGTTTGTTTATTTATATAATACAAACGTTTCCAATGACTCTAGAATAGAAGTCTTCCCCGCGCTCCTTCGTCAACGCTAAGGAGAAGCTCCTCGATTCAGCAGCTCATGGGCCTCTTAAAGAAGTGCCTAAACTGCTCAATCTTTAGATGGTCAGGGAAGTACTTGCAGGCGCAGATGAGCGGGATGGCTCTGCCATTATGTCCAAGGTGGAAGGACCAGTAATCGATCGCTGGCCATTACTCTACTGTAGATGTACAGATCGTTGTGTTTTTTCATCTGCTACACACAAGAGGAGATGGAGAAATGTTTTAACGTATCGAATGAACAGTCAGACTACATTACGCTCATCAGAGAGAAACCGAAAGGACACTGGCCTTAATTTCTAACATCTAACATTGACCTATTCAAAGACGACTAAATCACCAAATGGTTCTGAAAGCCAAGTAACAAAAACATACTGGTTCATCACCTTTACTCTTACCACTTACACACAAAAAGGGCGCTTGTGACAAACATGTTTCGAACAGCCACCATTGTATACGCAGAAACAGAATAAAAGGAAAAATTACTGAAGCTGGCGGAGCAAATAGCCATTTCCAAAGGTTACGAAGAGGTAGCTCCTCGAGATTGGTCTGCAGGAAGAGCCACACCCCCAAATGTCTAGCGAGAATATGCTCCCGTTTATCCTACCTTTCATCTCCAATGAAATAGGTGCAACTATAAAACGTGACTCAGAAAGAACCGGTATAGAGAATTCAGTAGAAGTAATTGAAATACCAGCGAACACTTCCAGATGCCAGCAAGTTCGTAACCGCCTGTATGACCGTCTATATACAATGCAGAATTGCGTGATATGCCCCGCCGGTATAGACGGTGATTGCATTAGTTCGAGTATGGTTTATCTGATCTCTTGCTAAGCGTGTGGAACTAATAGATTGGAGAAACGGATAGACCACTCTGCGTCCGTATAAAGGAATACTTAGATGCTAAGCGTTGTATTGTTTCCAATACCCCACTAAGCGCACATAAGACACAGAGAGATAACGGCGAAGATTTTGAAGTAGAGGTCACCATCCTCGCACAAAAATCTAAAACTTCGGCGTCTAAAACACTCGAAGTATTCTGGATAAATTCCAAGAATCCAAAAGTGAACCGCAGAAAGGAATGCCTTGTTATCACGTGTGATTTCAGGAAGTATCTAAAACCGATATTTTAACGTGAGAAGATTGCACTACACATCCATGTGAGGTCTATAAGGGCGGTCTGCACTTCGAATACTCGAAAGACTCATAGAAAGCGGTGAGCGCGTGAAGCTGATTTGTTTTCAATGCAGCTGAAATTTAGGCTTCGTGATCCTTCTTTGTTGGTTATTATGTTGGTTATGGAGGTGTTTAGCCGACTAGATTGCAGTTAGCTTTCCAGGCTCCAGAGAAAGCAAAATTAGAATTCGCCGAAACTTTAGTCTTTGTGGACAAATAAATAGTATAGTAGCAACACCGTATGTGCTTATTAAGAACTTCTTAAGAATTAAATGTAGTAATACGGTAGAGATACTAGTATAGGTCGTGGGATTAACACGAGGCGAATGAATTCGTCGAAGGAACGGCTCATTTGCACTTTGTTAAGTGTAAAACGTAATCTCCTCTGTTGACGCAATCCACAACATCTGTTTAAGTTCAGCTCCTTAGTGGTTACAAAAACCGAAGCAAAAAAGGCTCCAGGACACTAATGACTGTTGTGAAGGATTCGTCCAGATTTCGTAATGAAAGAAATATCGGTTATGGTGCAATCTAAAAGAGAAGAGACTAAAATAAACAGTAAAATAGATAGTGAGTGAATGACCCATGGCGGTCAGTTTTCACTAGAACGCATGAGTCATGTTTCACTCATTTTGTCACCGTTGTGTTAAGCCAATGCTCAACTCGTACTGAGTATTATTAAAGGGACAAAAGGATATAGCTCTCAGAGTTGATCAATCCTTGTGGGATGCGCCATGCATTTCAACATCTTTCGAGGTGATCGAATACAATCTGGTGTACACTCACGGTGGCCTACTGGTGTATCAAGTTAGTCCCACTGCCCTTCCAAACAGGTCTGCCACCAAGTTGCTAAAGCCGGAAGGATGGAGGGCTTGATGGGCCTGGTGCGCAGGATCGAACCCATGTGTATTGCAGAGCTTCTCTAATCACTGCGTTACACGCGCCCTTACGGCTTTATTAGTTGAACTAAAAACTATTAGAATCTACAGATCTTTGCTTATGAGATACAAGCTGTATTATTCTGCTACCATAATGGCACGAGTTTCTGGAGCTTACGAGACGTACTTCTCTCAGTTTTTATTCTGTCAAAATTCGCGTATCGAATATGAAAGCGGTGGAACAATGAGATTTCCTTCTGCGGGGCACGGCGGAACCAATCATCGCTAATGTTTGCGGCTACTGCATTTACGTTTAAAAACCCGAAATATTTAAGTTCGTTCTCATTCTCTCTTAAAGTTTTAGTGCTAAGCAAATTTAAAATTAAAGTACCAGACATAAAAAAGTGGTGCCTAACCTGTCCACTATTTTCTTCGGGGCAGGTTATCACTTTAAATACAATCACAATAATGTCGAGAAGTGAGCAGAACTCGGAATCCCAGGTCGAGCTTCGAACCCGCGATTTCACATCCCGGTAGCTCCAGCACACTACACCATCGACGCCCCGGCTTTGTCTTTCTCACAGCCGGTTTTTTACACTAACAGTCAACCATTGTGATTTTGATTGCAGCTTCAGCTCAACTGGGTTCAATGCTAATTTGTGCGTGCTATATCACTTCCGTTATTGGGTGATTTCTCATAGCACCGTTAGAGTAAAAAGCCAGCTGAAAGAAATGCAAATCAAGGGCCTCAATGATGCAGTGGGTAGCACATGAATCCCCGCTAAGGACAGTCACGAGTTCGAGGCTCACCTGAATCTCCAGGTTTCCAGGTTTTGCTCATATCTCAGCACCATTATAAAAAATCAATGGCACATAAGACGATAAAACAGCCTCTTAAATAAATAAAACCTTAAAAAATTTTTTAAATCGATCTCTTGGTTTCCAAGGCTTAATGAAAGTCGGTTTAGGATATTGTCACGCTATGTGCTAGCTAATATAATACCGATTCCTACTCGATGCATTGTCGCCAAAAATTCAGAGCACATTGGATGGCTGCAATAGATCGACATTTGCCCTGTATGAAAGAGCACCGTCGAGTGATATTCTTCATCCGAGCAGCGCTCCCTTCACTGGATTTGACTCGATGCGATGATGAAGAGGAGCACTTGCGGTGGATCATCGACTCGAACCAGTCTGGCTTTGAAGAAGACGAAGAAATTTTCTATAAATCTAGGAACAGAAACTGTCATCCGTTATGGAAAGCCATTATGGGATGTTATGTGCTAAAATGAAAATAATATTACACAAAAATGGAGTATTTCCTTAAATCGATATGGCAAATTATCTTCTATAAGTCTTTCACGTCATCAAGCATTTGTATGCTCTAATTATCGAAGATATCTTACTCGATGCTTGATATGTGAATGGCCCGTCATAACTAGTTTTGCGGACCCCAGCATAATAACCATCTTCCGGAGATTTGCTGGTTAAGCCACTGTGGTTCCCTGGAATCCCGAGGACAGCCTAGCCAAAGTCAGCCCCAGAATAATTATCGGTAGTTATAAAAGAAAGTAATATTGTTGCGAATGTGTTAAGATTAACCTTTTTATTTACTGTCAATTCTTTTTAACGGCAAGGTATGTTGCGAAGTACAACTTCAATGATGCTGAGATATTTGCAAAACTCCGGACCGCAGGTGTATGCGGTGAGGAACGAACGCGCTGTTATCCTTTCCGGGGAGTAATACGTTCACCACCACCACCATGCGGGCCCTGCGTTTCGCCTGTTTCTCAGCTAATTCTATCGATCTTTTTTTAAAAGTTACATTTCGCAACATACCCTACCGTTGAAAAGAATAGGCAGTACATAAAAAGTTAAAGTTGTGATTCCGACTACAGCCTCAGCTTAACTGGGTTCATTGCCAATGTGGGCTCTCCAGATCAATCCCATTAACGTGTGATTGCTGATGGCACTGATCGATGAAACTAGCTGAGAGACAGGTGAAACGAAGGACCCACATGGTGTAGTGGTGAACGCATTAGCCCCCGGAAAGGGTGATAGCGCGTTCGTTCCCCACCGCAGACACCTGCGGTTCGGAGTTTTGCAAATATCTCGTTATGCGCTAAAATTGTAGAAACGCTGAGTGCGAGAGAGAAGCAATTAACTTTTTCAGATTTATATGTTACATAAGGGTCTCTTGTAGTGCAGTGACTAGACGTGCCCTGGATATGGACGATGTCGTCCGCAAGCCCTGAGCGAACCGATACTTCCATCTCTCCTGGGTTGGCAAGTTGGCAGCAAACCTGTTTGGCAAGATAGCAGCATTGGCTTGATACATCGATAGGCTACCAGAAGTCACTGTATAGATGAGATATGTATTCAGTCATCTCTACGATGCTACGAATTGAGTCGAACGCACGGGTCATCCCTAGAGATTGATCAACACTGAGCAATTTATATTTTCTAGAAACTAAGCATCATTTGACTATCACAATGATGCTGAGATATTTGCATAACTCCGGGCCGCAGGTGTCTGAACGATTCCGTTGATGGATGTTTGCTGATGGCACTGGTTGATAGAAAACTAGATGAGAGACATACGAAACGAAAGGCCCGAAAGGTGTGGTGGCGAAAGCGTCAACCTCGGAAAAGGTGGTAGCGAGTTCGTTCCCCACCGCAGACAGCCGCAGTGCGGAGTTTAGGAAGTGTCTCAGCATCAGTGTGATTGTATCTCACATAATAGCATGCCGTGAAAAGTTGTAGAAGGCAGTACGTAAAAAGCTAATCAATATGCTTTTCTAGATTCTGCAAATCACACGAGGTTGTTATAGAAGTTTTATTCGGGTAACGTTTCGACGTCTTCGTTTTCTTCAGAGCCGATCCGCTTCTACGCAGGAGGGTTGATGTCGGTTGTCTACTGATAGTGATACACCCATGAAGATAATATATCCTATAGTAGTCGGTACCATATCAGCTAACAGATAGCGAATCGCTACTTGTTAACAGCTCACCATCGTTTAGCCTCGGCGTGAATAACCAGCATAGTTCCTTCATGCTTTTTAACCCCTATAACAACCTCGTACGAGCCGTGAACAATCTTTTACACTATCCTTTATCCCCTATAATATCCAGAACTGTACGTTCCCTGATACTGACTGTATGTCTCGTTGAATAGTCAGCCTGCATTGCACTCACTGTGTCTTCACTCTTGTCCGCCCACTCGTGGTAAATAACCGATGAGTCATCGTCTTCCTGACGGGACGAATCGTCCGCTGAATGACTGGGTGTCCGCGAATCGTGCCAAAAGGTCGCCGGCCATGACGATCACGACGGCGACGGCACTCATTGTTCATCACTTCTTCAACGTCATCATCATTATCATCATCGTCATCACATCATTCTCACCGCCCGTTCTGATGCTGTTTCGTCACTCTGCTACTCTCATTACGTCATTCGCTGCATCGTTCTCCTCTTATTGGCAATAAATTATCCTAACGAAGTGATGAAATCTGACTAGTCTTCATTGAAGAACGCTTCGCCGTTTCCTTTAACGTCGACGGTACTTAATCAGAAGGTCATCGTTATCTTTGTAAACAAGTTTTGAACAAACATATACAGTCGTAAGCACATCTTATTTACGAAAATGGACATTCATGCTCAGTTGCTGTCGTATTTGTTTTCTTTGTCGTTGACTGACCACCACTTCTTTGCTAACGATAGTTCTGGTCGTCTTTCGAAGTCCTTTGCACTTTGACGGGTTTCAGTGTTGCACTTTTGCCTACGTAAACTTACCATAATGGAAACGAAGGCATTCCAGATATGGCATATCCTCCGATGTACAACCTCCAGCAAATCTTCTCCTCTGTTGACAAAGACAGGTACGAATTCAGAACAATCCATAATATTGTTATACCTTTTTATTTTCTGCCTACTGTAATTTCGCGGCAGGGTACTAAGCGAAATACAACCACAACGTTGCTGAGATATTTGCAAAATTCTGGACCGCAGGTGTCTATGGTGGGGAACGAACGCGCTATTGTCCTTTCCGGGGAGTAACGCGTTCACCACCACACCATATGGGTCCTTTGATTTCAACTACAGCCGCAGCTTAACTGGGTTCTATGCCGATTTGGGCGCCCCAGATCATTCCCGCTGACGGGTGATTGCTGTGGCAAAGATCGATAGAAATAGCTGAGAGACAGGCGAAACAAGGGACGCGCATGGTGTGGTGGTGAACGCGTTGCTCCCCGGAAAAGACAATAGCGCGTTCGTTCCCCACCATAGACACCTGCTGTCCAGAGTTTTGCAAATATCTCAGCAACGTTGTGGTTGTAATCCATAGTATTTTTGGTATCACTGGATGTTCGATTATCAGGTCCGGGAACATAAGTGTGGATGAACTACAACGTGCATTATCTAACGGAACATGGAATCCATTCAATCCAGAGACTTGTCGACTGATGATCGGTGAGTTCTTCATTATCTTAGGCGCGTTTAGCTCTGTACTGATGGTTGGCAAACAATCAGCTATCTTCGCAAGAGACAACCATATTTGCATTAAGCCGTAGTTCTGGTGAAACAGTTTTGTTGGATGAGTTTCGTTCCTGGTCACCTCTTTCTTTAGGTATGTTCGATTCGAATGGTGACGGAGCTATTAATTTTAGTGAATTCCAGGTAAATTTTCCCACTCACTTTAGATTGCATTGCAACGTCCTCTTTATGTTTCTGTTGCGTAATTGTGTTCAAAACAACCTTAAACCTTCTGATTCAGGAAAAGCAGCTCACTATAGCTCATAAAATCTACAAACCTGTCTCTCTATCCACTACTGTTGTGAAAGATCCATCCATCCCTCTTAAGTGCATAGTAGAACCACTACTAGTAATGGTGAAGTCAATTTCCTGACATTGCCATTAACTGATCGGAATTTTTAGTTTCAAGAGTCATCTAAAGCGCTTTTATGTTAAAAACTTGAAATCCATGGTCTACTTACCAGCTGAACCGTGATCTTGGAAACGTCATGCTAATCTTGGTTGGTAACAGCCTCGTTTGCAGTGTCCCTTTTTTTAGCGATGTTTTATAAACGGTGTATTTGGCTATTTGCTTTCGACTTCTAGAAAGTTGTATTTAAATGGACGTTTTTCCTGAATCACGAAAATCTGAGGTCCCCAGAATCACTTCTATTTCGTTGTAACTTGCAGCTCGGACAAAATGTTCCTAAGCTATGTCGACTTAGATGAACACCAAAACTCTTAGATATCTTTGGTAAAGAGGACTTTCCTTTTAAGTCTTCTCGAATCTTCTAAAATTTATTGCTGTTCGACGAGACAAACATTCCATGTAGCTGCGGTGATAATCTGACTAATAAGATATCGAGTTTTTCTCTGTTCTGAAAAGTAATAGGACTGCTCATCGATGTGAGATGAAATATGTCTTGTGGAATGAAATCTCCCTTGTTGTAATCTCGTGAACTCAAATGCCTACAACACTTGTTACACCTGCTTAAAATAACATATTTGGAAAGAAACTCTGCATCCGCTTTCTGTTTTCTATACACCTTAATCATGCTCCTACTTGTTTGCAGGCACTATGGCAATACATAAATGATTGGACGAACTGTTTTCGTGGTTTTGACTTAGATAATAGTGGCAATATCGACAAGTCGGAACTTCAAAGTGCTCTCTCACGATTCGGTTGGTTAAACATCAGCCTACTTTCCTCTGTGATTTCATTGTTAAGATTACTTTAGGATATCGGCTATCAGACCAGTTTTACAACATTTTAATGCATAAATTTGACCGTACACATACAGGATGTATAAATTTCGACGACTTTATCCAGTTATGTGTGGTATTGCAAACCCTAACTGCTGCCTTCAGGTGAGAAAAATTAAGAAAAGTGGAATTTTGTTCTCATTTCGTGATGTGCAAACCATATCCTTCCAAACTGGCCGTTTACACAGCCTGTTTTTGTTTTTTATGCTTCTTGTTTTCTACGATTAGCAATCAAAACACTGAACCTGTACTTCGGACTTAAGAAAAATAGTTTGACTGTATGGTTATATTGTTTGTTGATTGTTTAGAGACAAGGACACTGATCGCGATGGCGTCATCACCATACGGTTTGAGGAATTTCTCACAATGGTGTTTAGTTTACAGATATGATCTGTATTCTTCCTATACTGATGAAGTATTCACCTAACAATAAGGAACAAAGGGATTTTCATCACATATCAATATACATCCATATCATAGGTGCTGTTTCAGATTACTGGTATGGTCCTAAAAATGGTTGGTTAAAGAGGAAATAAATGAATTCTTCTCTACGTGGTTCGAATTCGAACTATGCGAAGAAATCTGGGAATGCTAAAACTTTATTCCAACTATCTCCACTGACCAGCACTTTGAACGCGTGGATGACGTGTATTTCAATAATAAAACTATACAGTGGCAGCGATGATTATCCTTCGAAAACATGTATGTTATCCGGTTTATATCCGGATTCATGCAGTATTCTAAAAAGGCCAAAAATCAAAACATAGAGGAAAAAAGAATCGAATATGGAAAGTACACTCACTTTGCAGCATTCTGATTAAATCCATCAGGACCACACACTAATACTCGCAAAGAAGTGTGTGCCGGTGGAATCATATCAGCATCAATACGTCCTCTGCGACCATTCCATCCTTCGGATGGAGAAGTGAGGATGTGTTCAACCTCAAACAAATCACTAAGCAATCACTCATTTGTTGTTCTTGTACTGGGGACGTACCTTAACTGTATTGTCATCCCACTTTATAGGTAGCCAATCATCACTAACTATGTCTTGTTCAGTTTTATTAAACAACAGCAAACGAGTGCTACACCTATAAAGATGACCACAAATCATTATAGGACATTAACAAATTAAAAATGTACGGACTTACGAAGGTGAAGGGTTCATCTTCATTTTCCGTAACCTAGAAATGAGTACGTTGACCATTGGTGTTATTCCAGTACCAGCTGCCAGCAGAACCAGGTCGCATTCAGGACTAATCCATCTAGATAAATCAGTCTTCCCTATAGGTTCGCTGATTTCAATTGAATCTCCTAAAAACATAACACCTAAAACAATGGTAAAGTAACTTATGTTGATTGTTGAGAAAGTTTGTCATGAACACTAACCAACGCCTAGATTTCCTAAACAAGGTGTGCATATACCATCATTATAAATCTTTATCATAAGGGAGATCGTGGCAGAGCCACTACACCAGCCATTTCCTTCTTCTTCTGATTCTGCTGAGAGTGACACTGAGTTGACAGGTGTGTAAAATCGATACAATGTCGATCCTAAACAAATAATATATGGTAATACGAAACACATCGACTTCCTAGGAATCGTAAAAATAGAAAATTGATGGAAATCACCTCCTTTATGGATCTTTACAGAAACGTGTCTGCCTGGTGCTACAGGGAAAAACAATCCCTCTGGAAGCCGAAGAGTGAACAACAGAGTGTTGTGAGATACCGGACGCTTTTCTTCTATGACGCATTTATAGTAAACGAGCACTATAACATTAAGTCATTGACATTTAGAGAGTTGTACTAACTAAGAATGAAGATAAAGCAGTGTGAAATTGAAATAAATAACTCAGAAAAGTTAAAATATAGCTCGAATAGAGTAATGCAGACATAAAACGAAAAACCGTACATGGAGACTGTCTAATTGATTGATACGTTGAAGACAGAAGCGATTCAGTTGACTGGAAGACGACAGTAACAGAACCGTCTTTCACTACAACTTTATACGCCATCAATAATAGATCGCTCGCTACGTTATCTATAAAAAGGTTCCCTAATTGATGTATAACTATGGTGATGACCTGAAATGACAGAAATAGTGTCTTACTCCACTTCACTTCAGTCACAGAATGCTCTCTTTGACGAACAACAATCCGGAAATGCTTTTTGCTTTGAGAGAGATCAACAATAATATTTTCTAGAGCCAAGTCAGATGCGTTCCAATCCTCACAGGACAACGTTACACTTTTATCATCTGTGACGACGCTTAAAAATGGGTAGTATTATCTTCAGTTGTAACAAGAATGCCGGAAAATGAATGGCCTCACCAAACTCCATAGTTTTCCCCAGTATCCTTTTCGTTCATGATCAAAGAGTTCATTTGCAATGATATCGACTGCGACTGACCAAGAGTGGAAGGGCCAGGTTGGGGTACTGGATTTATGACAACCGAATTGGTAAAAAAAATTTTCAAAACAACTTCAGTGAATGTCCAAGAACTCACACATTGACAAGTCACCCGTGAACCTTCCAACAAGACATGATTTTAACATCCTTTCATAGTTGACCCATGGATGGTAGTGATTGAATAGACCGGTAGCGTCATTGCCTGCTGCTCGCATTAGCTCTGGGATCCCTCCAGGATGAAATTCCAAATACGACGTAATATCATAAACCTAAAAATGACACTTCTTTGACGCAGAAGCTGGGGATAACATTGGAAAGTACGAGGTACAAACAGCTGTGTAACAATGAAAATAAAACAAGTGGAAAGAACTTAGTCCTTTTTAACTTCACTAAAATGGTCTCCAATAGCAACTGATCGAACAGGTGATGGAAAGACTAAAGAAAAAATGAATAAATAAACACTTATCAGCTGATATTCAAACCTGTCCAAAAAGGTGCACCCAACAATCTTCTCTCTTATTATGCCTCATGAGTTCTACATGATTCACTGACATATTTTTCTTAGCAAGGATCTAGAAAATTTTTGGTCATCTGCACGAAATCTTATGAAAAGAAGAGATCTTTGATATTAACTTTATACCTTTCCTGAAGCCAAGCGAATCCAATCCACAAGACTTCGACCTCGAGGAAGCTCAACTTTGACGCGTCCATATTCCGTTCTTTTCCCGACAGGATTCTTAAACAAGCAATCTAAACTCCATATTCAAAGTTGAATCCGCAACTACATCATTATTCAGGCTTATTTAATACCTCTAGTGACACTACTGCCTACAATATAGCCTGTACCATCAAATCCACCAATCCACGTACCACAGACAACGTCTGCCGATCAGGCATAATGCAACTCATCAACTTAGCAACCCGCACAGCTCAGTCATGGCTAATTAAAAGTCCAGTACTGGCGAGTCGTCAATTCTAATGCTTTACCGCAATTGCGAACAGCCGTCATATTTCCCGCGCAATGTGGTAGTACTGCTGCTCGGTAATCTCCAGCACTGATCAGCGAAAAACATTTTCAGGACTCCCTGGTTACCAGATGTTACTCTAACGTTTTGCCTAGGGTCCACTGAGGGCAATAAGTAATTGTGAGTGTTATTTTAGTTGGAATGTTTTTAGTGGTTATATAGGTCTAGAAAGTGGGTTATAAAGTTTACAAGCCTAAATAGATTGATGGAAAAGAAATCTTTGCTTGGGGGAAGTCATTTCCAGCCAAAAATTGGAAGGTTTGTTGAGTTCTGGTGAACGAGTTCTTTGGTTTCTGATTCTTTGGTGTTCTCGTACTCGACAAATGGTACCCATCTCTTGCAGCTCTTTCCTTGAGTCTTTGCAACCATTTTGTCTCTACTTATGCAAAAAAATTGAAATCCCAGTTTGAGTTGACCATGATAGAAGACCTTATGATACGTGGTTCTTTGTGAAGGGCTATATTCGGCCGGTCTAAGACGGAAGTGTGTTTTACAGTGTTTGGATAGATGTAGTGCCATAACTTCTTAGCTTGTACACTTTATTATATTGAGAACGACTGAACGATTTATGCCATAGATTTCCTACTCAGCCGGTGCTGACCTTAACGAAATCCTAGAAACGAAAGTCTGATTTCCACGTTAAAAATCTACGTGTTCCATTATAAGGTAGACACCAATCACAGTAGGAATGAGTATAGCTCTCATGCAAATATTCTGATTTGTTCGGTTTATTTGTTTAAGTTATTGGAGAAGCTAATGAATAGTACCGTCAGTGGACCAGTTCCGGCTCACCGATCACTCCATGGCGATAGGCAAGGTGGTGGACCATCGGTAAGCGCTTTTGAAGAACGAAGACAAGTTTATGTACGAGAGGGAAGGGAAATTATGTTTGAAGTGAAGAGTTTGCTCAAGAAGTTGAATAGTTTGATAACTTTCAGCGAGTTCCATCAGGCTATACTTGCTCTAGGTGTGGACCTGGGTTTGATGGTCGGTGAATGTAACCCACTAGATCTTAGTGGGTTTACCCTCTCCGGCGCCATTTGATTCATAGTGGAACACTTCATTAAAATCTGATCTATGGGTGAACGTCAGAATAACTTTCGTCACCCACCAGGTTATTCTGTTTTTCCAAACTGGTTATGATTATTTGACATCGAATTTTAACCGCTTGAAGAGGGATGTTTTCTTAGATAACGTAACTCCTCAACGTTATGGAGAAAACGATGCCGCCGAAACGTTTGCCATAGAGAACTGAGAAAAAGAAAACATGTCAATCACGTTATTGTCAAGTTTTGAAGGATAGTTCGTTCGAGAGCGCAGTAGCTTGCTTACCAGTCCCGAATTTTTTTGTAGTTGGCTCAGTGGAGACCTGCATAGTTCTATGTTTAGCAGTACATCTCAAAGGAAATGAGTGTGTAGGACATGAATTAATCACAGTCGTTTAGCGGGATTTCCTGAAGAAGCATAGAAATGAAACATGGAACAAAACATTGAGAATGAAACAAAGTTTGTTATTCATAACTTTTTAAGATCCAGACAATCTTAGTACTGTACCAAATAAGAGCTTATGGCTATCAGATGTTTTTTCCTGGTAATAGATGTCGTTCATCCTAGCGCACTTCGCAGAATTCAAAAGCTCCTACGTAAATAGATTGTTTAAATATGAAAGCAATTATATACGTGTTCGATTTAGACTGGCCTGCTTATAAACGTGATCCGGTCACTTACCACAAGCGTCTCGGAGGATCAGCGAGAGTTGGAGAAGTCTCGCCTACAGAAAGGGTTTCAGGAATCTGAAGCACTCATTGACAAGTTGGTTAAATGTAAGTTACCAGGAAGTATGTTTCCTCTTCTCGTTTAAGTGTTCATTATTTGTGCTACGAGTCTGCTTTTGTTTGTTATAGCTCATCAAAAAGATGTTGAAGAGTGTCTTGATTCCTTTAGGGATATCTCAACCAGATTGTCAGGTAGGCCTTTTGTCTTGTTTTAGCGGTCTCTGTAGTTTCTTTTAAATCGTTGTTATGTTAAGCATGTCGTGAGAGGATTCACAATGTCCGAAACGCCTTACTTACATGCAAGACACATCTTGAGTGTCGGCGTGATGACTTAAAGAAGCTTTGGCTTGAGAATTCCCAACAAAAGCACATTTGTGAAATCATGGCACAATTGTAAGGGTTGTTTTTCTTAGTGCTCACGCTTTCTTAGAGCGCGTTGCGCTTAATTGAGAACTCTTCTTTTTCAGGGATGATCTCAGAGAAGCTCCTTCAAAGATTGACACTCTCATAAGTCAAGGAAATTATACGAGCGCTGCTAAGATAGCTAGTACATCTCGTCAGTTTTTCTGTGTGCAGTTCCTTCTGTTGCGTGGTAGTTCTCGATTTTTAGATGATCTTCTTCATGGAAGACTGGCTAAAATTGAAGGACTGTCACAATTGCGCACCTTGATTCGAGACACTTCTGAGCATTTGATTGAGAAGATAGTAGATCAGATTGTGGATATCCTTGTGGTTGATCCATTTGAAAATCATGTAAATATTGAGATATCGGCTTGTCTGTTTTGAGAATACACTGAGGTATTTTCACCCAGATGTTCGATATTGTCCAATCTATGCCCGAGCAACGGATAATGGAGTCAGAGCAGTGCTGTCGTCTTCACGGCAAGGTACTGGTGGCATTCAGGAATTGTTTTTTTTTTGAAGTATTTTGCTACTCTGTGTCCTTGTCTTCATCCACTCTTTGGCAAACAGTATCTTTAATCTCACTTCAAAAGATTTTTACAATTTCAGCTACGAACACTTATTACGTCATGAATTTAGTGGTATAGTTGAGATAGTGACTAATGTAATATCAAGTTATAATGAGTTCTTTTCTAATACATTTAATTTAATTCATTTAGGCGAGACTCCCTCGTGTGCTTGAATCGGTGGAGACAAGACTTCGACTTGTTGTATCAGCCCTTGCTGAACTCGGTGGGGGTCGTGTGGATATCGACCGTGTTATGGCTTTATCCCGAGCTCAGATTGACAAACAGGTGGGTATTGAGAGATCTCAGTATACTCTTCATTTTCATTTATTATGCAACGTAGGGGGCACGTGTTGCAGAGTGGTAGAAGGCTCCCTGTAATACACATGGGTTTGATTCCTGTGCGCCTGGCCCACAAAACCTTCCATTCCTCTAGGGTCGGCAAATTGGTTCCTTCTCTGGGAGTATAGCAGCACTGACTCGATACATCGGTAGGCCAGCGCGAGTCATTATAATGGCCACATATGCATCCAATCACCTCAAAGCGATGCTTAATGAAGTCGAATGCAAGGCGCATCCCTCAAGGATGAATCAACGCCGAGAGCTTTATCCTTTATCCTTTTATTAAATAACGTAGGTTTTCCAGGTGGCGGCTTCAGTGTCGATAATGAGAGTTCGTGCGTCCCTCGACGACAATTTGGCAGGCGATCAAACTCACCTCGTCCAACTTGTTCAGATGGTTAGAATAATCTTGCGTGATATAGCCTTATAGATTTATCATAATCTCAGTTTTTTCAGATAGTCTGCCAACTGGAATCCTCACGTGCAGCCCATAAAGTGCTTGAGAAAATTTACTCTGAGTCAAATTCTGATTCGCCAACTATGATTATGAAATTGTACTGGGAAGGAGCCCAGAGTGCTATTGAGGTTAGCCATTGTCTTTGTTTGAATCCGTTTTTCATAGGGTTTTATTTAGACGTTGGTGTCTGATCACCTTGATATTACTCCGCTAGCTGCGAAGGAACCTATCGATTCGAAGAAACCACTGTTTCGATTTGATGCGACGGCATTCGCAAACGGCACATTGGCAACTGATCCAAGCATGCAGGTTTTTTAATTTTTGTATTCTTCTCTTTGTACATTATTTGTCTTTAAAACCATAAAAAGATCGTAATGTGCTAAAACATGCAGGGTCCTGTTGTTGTATGTCGACCATCTGCATTTAATATTGTACCCATGTTTCCGTGGTTGAGAAAGTTAATGGATCTGATTGAGAAAGAAACCGAGGAGTCACCATCTCAGCTGAGGTGAACCGTCCTCTAAAATGTTTCTCTTGCGACTTTTACATCTTTTTCCATGCATCTTAATTGTCTTTGTAAATATCTCGCAGTGGATCCAATCCATTTTTGTTGCTGAAGTTGAATTGTAACCAGAATGGTGGTCTGATAGAGATTTTTGGTAATTAGTTAGTTATGGAGACAGCATTCTGTGTTAAGGCGATTTGTGCATTCTTTCGTTATGGAGCTCTTCGTAGAGCGGGTTAAAGCTGATCTAGCCGATCGGATCGAGAATGCTTTGAGAAGATCTGATAACTCTCGTCCAAAGAATCTTATGAATTCGGGGAGTTTTTACCGTTATTTTTGAGAATGCTGAGAATATAAATAATAGGTTGATTTAGAAAGTATTGCCATCGTGTGAACGCGTTCTTGAACTATGCCAAGAAGTTCATGGCCTCATTGTTTCTATGGATCTTTATGCAGATCGATTTTCTGCACTATGGTTGCTTGTTCTAACTGATTATAATAAGAGTGTAACAGATATGTATGAAAAGGTTCTAGTCCGTTTTCTGACGTTTTTTTTTGGGTTATACTGTGAATAACTTGTGGAACGTTTTCAGACCACTAAATCACTTAGTGAAGTGGATGGGATTACTTCAAGACGTAAAATAAGTGCTGCTTGGGCTGCCGATGAGGACATATCACGGTTCGTCCACTACTTTTTTGACTTTGTTCTGATTTTTTGTTACCTTGGATTCTATGTTCGGTTTAGATCCAATGAATGTTAATTAATCAGTTTGAAAATCCTCCAAGGAAATTTGGAATAAATCATATTAACTATTTGTTCAGTTTGCTAATGAGTCTTCCTAACTGGTTAATGACGGCATCGGAAGTAACACCAAGTACTCCGAGTGTGCTTAATTTTGAAAGTGAAAAAGTGGGCTACCTTGAAATAATATTCTCTTTTTATCCTTTTCATTTAGATTCTAGGTGATTTATGGCAGTACGAAATTCGTTCCAGGATATTCGTCAGCGAAACGAGCGGGAGTCTGAAATTCTTATTGGGAACCTTGCTACTCAAAAAAAGATTGAGCGTGCCGAGTTGTTAACAGACATGGCAGACGTGCGAACATTGGCGGCATTGCACGAAAGCTTGCGGTGGTTTTCTCATGAGGTATATTCCACGTAAATTCACGATTTATTGCTTTGTTCCGAATTCTTGAGATCCTGAATTCTGGGCTAAGGATATTTTCGTAGCCCAAAACTAGTTTTTGAAGGTCCGTATGCTAATTTCAACCCTTCCGTTACATGTAAAAGCAACTCTTCGTGGGTGTATGGTACAGGTTCGATTCAAAGATGGGCAAACTACTGACAATGTATGTAGTTCGTAATGATATCTCTATATTGTTACCAAGCTTTTTCTGCGAAAATATCCTTGTTTGTAGGAACCTGTGTTGGAAGCAATGGAGGATTGTATTAGACGCCTGGACGCAATTTCAGATAGCTGCTTGCTTATGCTACACCTTGAATTGAGAGTGCATTGCTTTTTCCATCTTTTACCATTGGCGCGGCCGCGAAATATTGGTGTTCACGAAGAATTGGATGCCGAGGTACGTCAGTTGGTTCTTTACTTGTTTTGTGGTTCTTGTTGGTTTACATCGGTTTGGAGAGTTGGGAACTTGAACGTATGGCTTACTTTATCGTTCATTTATTTTTATCCTTCTAGTTACTATTTAAGGTTGTTGAACTAGGACGTGATCTACAAGCGTTCCATCAATTACTATCCTCGATTCTGTCGCAACATAAGCTTCGCTATATATTTGATGGGCTGGGCCATCTTTGCGCTGCTATATTTATACATTCCAGGTATTCTTGCTTTTAACTACAACTAATCAAAACACGTATTTATACATATACTTTTGATGCTAAAAATTTTTGAAATTTCTGCTAGTGTTAACATGACCTGACTCTACTTGGCAGATAAGGAAAATACGCAGAGCATGGGCGACCTTATTTTTTTCCCTCGTACATAAGTGGCCTCAGGGAAGGCACTCTCTGTCTCTGCTGTTTTGGATTGACATTTGCCTACTGTAATGCATTTAGCTTAATTCTTGTATGAAAACTCGTTCAGTTACTCATCAATAGTAGTCATTGCTTGTACTATCTAAAACCATCAGTGATAAAAAGGTATCATTCTCCTGAGCTTTAACGAGCCACTAGCGACACAGGAGCGCTTACTACGGTGAGTACGGATATGCTAGTAAAATCTCACGGCCGCTGTAGACTCTATAGATCTCCACCATTGACTATGGTGACAGCTTAAAAAACGAGGTCAGGGCAAAAATAAACACGAACATGTGGAGAACCTGTCACAAATACTCATCAACACATCCACCGAGGTTTTCAAGTTTTATTTTACATATTGCACCTTTCCAAATCAGTATAAACCAACATGACCGTGGTGCTGCCCAAAAAGGGAGACACGTGCGACTTCTGCAAATGTCTTCCAGTCCTACTGTTTGTCTGCATCGTCAAAAACGCAGCTTCAAAGAGATCAATACAACAATGAACGAAGAGCATTGATGCGAGCATGCAAATTTTTTGAAAAGATTCAGCACGATGGATCCACGATAACGAAACCCATTGAACTATCATGAGAGTATACAGAATGCCATCTCAGTTCTGCCGACTTAAAAAAGGTTTTTTAAGGTGTAGGGCCACCATCTCGTTAAAACTGTTTAGCGAAAGTCTTATGGAAAGGTTAGAATGGGGTGATATGAGAATGAAAGTCGGCCCGGTTCAAAAGTACTATATGTCAAACACACCCAATCACATGCAGCTGGGAGCACTAGTCTTAAAATGAATTTCGAGAACAAAGCATATTTGTCGGAGACGAATTCTTTTCTGATGTCCCATTAACCCAGAAATAACGAATATCTCCGATTATCCCAGTTCAGTATATTTGGGTTAAAACGTGGTGACACATATCTAAAGCAGAGTACCTTAGAGTTTACTCCTTTATCCTTTACTGTCATAGTACGTACGTTTATTTTCTGCTAACCATTTTTGTCAACAGCACAAGGTTGCACTGTGTAATTCAATCATTGCAGCCAGCACATGCCACGTTTGACAGACGCTGGTAAGAAGCGTGTGTGTCGTAATATCTGGGGCGTCCAGAAACGACTGTCGCAAATTACATCTCGCCGAGAAGCAGAACTTGACCGAGCTCGTGCATTTTTTGAACTCCTTGCACATGAACCAGACCGACTACTCGCTCATCTGCCGGACCGCCGCTCGCAATTTAGCCCGCTAGAAATGAGCCATCTGGTCGCACTATCTGTTCGTTCCCATCCAACACTCGCTAGTCAACACGGTGCACTTGAACAGCGTCTCGAACAACTATCTGTACTGTTGAAACAACCTGTTTAAAGTGTTGCTGTATATGGCGTTTGCTGCAATATCACATACGTTTTAATTAATGAGGTGCCTGATTTATGTAGTAATAAAGAGTTATTTATGCATACCTAAACACTGAGGCTCTGCTAGAACCTACACTTTGGAATTTTTATATGTACTAATCGTAGATTACGATATGGTTTTAAGTTTCATTTACTACCTATTCTTTTTTCATGACAAGGGGCTGTGTTAAACACAACGATAAGGATGCTGAGAAGTGAACGAAACTGGGAACCTCAGATCATGTTCAAACGCTCGATTAGCCTTTACTGACGCTCACGTGCTATCCACAACATCAGCCGAAGCCCCTGCTTTGCCTTTTTTAAGGCCAGTTTTTTTAAAGACGGAAATGGTCTGAGGAGTACAAATCGACAGTGAAGACAGCTAAACCGAAAGTGGGAATCATAATATTTTACGTCTATTTACTACCTTTTCTCTTTTTCCCCCGTTGACGAGTGCATATTAACAGCACCTGATGAGTGAAAAACCAGCCGAGAAGAAGGCAGGGCATAGGAGTTGGCTGGTGCAGTGGATAAGACCTAAAACCGGAAAGGGTTCTTGCGGGTTCAAAGCCCATTCGAGGTTCCGAGTTCTGCTCATATCTCGGCATCTTTGCGGTTAAAGTATTCTTCATTACAAGAGGGAAACGGTACGTCATTCATTCAAGCCTGTAAAGCATCTTAAAGCTGGGTTGTGGTGTGCCGCCAAATTGAAAACTCATCGGTGGTAATTCCCAAGACCATCTTTTGTTTAATTAATCAGTTTCTTCTTCTTGGACAAACACGAGGTTGTTAATGACAAGATTTATTCAGTGCTGGCTGACATTTCAGCGGCATCGCCTGTTTCAGAACCTTGAAAAGCAAGGTTGAGATGCGATATTCTCAAATGAACACTTTCATAACCTAAGCAGAAAAACTCGATAAACGAATTTCAATCGGTTAATAAAAAGCCTTTTTTAAATGCAACGTTTTCCTGCTCATAAATCTTCGAGTTGTTGGAGATCGGCCACACAATGCCTTATGTGGGTAAGGAGTGTGCCAAAAATCAGCATGAGGTATAGCTCGAGGTCACAAGTGGTCACAAGTCACTTCTCCATGGGGTTCATTTTTGGATTTGTGGAATTTATCTAAAACGCTTCAAGAGTTTTTACGCGCTAGTTTTCTAGATCGTCTCAACGGTTTACCGCCTCATCGTGGCTAGGAGGTGTCCCTTGGTGTCGGACTGCGATGTACAGCGGAGGATTCGTCCCTCCGACAGGGTTTCCCAAGCTGAGAAGGAGTCCAGCGTTTCCATCAAGAAGTCTGGCTGAGAGTAAACCAATACCAGGGTCCACCGCCGTCCTGGTGTCAAAGTCGCATGGTGGCAAATCTCTCTCTGATCTACACGGTCAACGAACGCTTGTCGTGGTGACGACCCAGGGCAGACTTTGGTCAGAATGTCCTCGAGATTCCAAGGAACCACAATGTCTTAACCAGCAAATTTCCGAAAAATGGTGATTTCACCACTGGTGGGGTCGGGCCGTTCAAGTACTATGTAAGTAAGTTTTGTAGATTCCTCCGTGGAGATAGTGACTTTTAGTTCCAAATCTTCGCCATAATATATTTGTGGCCTATGCGTGTCTAGTGGTATATTTGGCTTCAAGTGGCTTAAAGTTTTCCCATTTTTACCCTCATTTTCCCATGCAACCCGTCTTTTCACATCCACTGTGCGGATCCCAGCAGTTGTTCCAGTCGATTCATGGACTCGCATTCATCATCCACAACGGTGTTCTTTTTACATGTGATTTCGACCACTTCTTGAGGATTCTGATTTCATGTTGAATGTCGTGGAATGCTGGTGGAGTCGATTCTCACTGGGATCTTGAGATAGCAGGACTAAAGCGTTCCCAAAAAATTCCCAGGAAATTTCAGAGAGTAGTTGCGCAATTTCTGCTATTTTGTGTTATACACAGATGTTCATGCAGGCAGTTACGAAATAGTTGGCGTTTTAGGACGTTCGCTGGTATTCCGATCGCTGCTATTCAGTTCTTCAAACCAACCTTTTTTAAAGCATCGCTTTGTGGCTGTGTTCACTTTAGAGAACTAGGGCGCTCCATACGGGATTTATTTTCGTTAGACTTGTCGTTTGAGGGCTTTGGTTTCCTTCTAGACCCAACCTGAGGAGCTTCCGTTCCGTACTTCGATCGATCAGAATTGCTCGATCAGATAGAGAATTCTCCATCTACTTAACAAACACATTCTGTAAGTCGATATAGACTGTATTTACCACTACAGCCGCGTGCGTGCCCTGCATCCACATCCCATTCTTGACATCAGGTACGCCACTAGATACAGCATCTTGTAGCCATCAGTAACATCACCAGGCGTGCTACTGGGTACGCCTCACTGCTTGGGGACTAGAACCCGCGACCCGAATCTTGACCCTACGACCAGCGGCACTCGCTTGGACGTAGCCACGGTCACTAGCACCGTCATTTGGTTTCTGACGACACTTTAGACATCGTTGTTGCCATTTCATCATAACTGCCCACCCCCCCTCCCCCTCCCCGTTTAATCTTCCTTTACAAATTCATTTGCTTAGGTTGTAGTGATATTAACTAAAATCCTTAGCTCTTGCATTACTAATACATTAATGTCATCGTCGATTCTCATGTAACTACCTTGTGCTGTTAAGTTAACAGTTTTGTTAAATACTTTCATTGCTTACAGGTATTCCAAGAAACAATTCTTCACTCTTATACACTCCCGCAGAAGCTTTTCATATTCTTGCACTGTGAGCCGTTACACTGAATCCTCGCAAACATGGTGCATAACGCCCTACACTCTTGTTAATGCATTTTATTAGGTAAAAAACCGACTGAACCACCTCACTTGCAATCTATTGTACATACATTATAAATTTTATTGCATTGTTGTGCAAATAATGTGTTTATACATATAAAGGTTTAATTACCCGAGTTTGAGGTACTTTACCGACAATTCTGCACTTTTATTCACTTCCATGAACGCTTTTCATATTCTTGCCCTGTGAGCCGCTACAGCTATAACGAATGCTCTTGGTTATCATATTATAATCCAGCATCTACATATTCCATTCCAATCCATAGGATTAAGTAGGTCTTATAATCTTCTGTACCCTATCCTGCCTTTTAAGTCGCCAATCATGACGTTACAGGTATGATCTCCTCTGCAGGACTTTTTTACGTTCAAATAGAATGTTTCGATGTTGTCGTCGTTACAGTTTGGTGTTGCATCGTAGACGAATCTTGCTATTAGCCCATATAATTTCAAAAGTCTGGCCTAGTAACTCCTGTGACCGACTTTCTATTAACCTCGGCACTGATCAAGTAATTCTTCGTATTCTTGTTGAGGAAACGCGAGGTGTTATTTTATTCTTTATTCACGAAAAAGCTGACGTTTCGGTGGATTTCGCCTTCCTCAGGGCCTGGAAAGCTCAAGTTGATAGCAGTCTATTCGGCCAAACACCTCCATAACCAAGCAAGGAAACTCTAAGCCAAACACAGTTTTGCACATTCAACGCTTTCTATGAGGCTTCCACTGAGTATGTCGTGTCAAGACCTACTGCACAGAATTCACATGGAAGCGTAATTTCCTCCTCCCATCAGAATAACAATCTTATATACTGCCCAATATTACGCCTGATAATGAAGCATTCTTCCCTGCGGTTCATTTTCGGATTTTTATAATTAATCCAGAACGCCTCGAGACTTTTGCGCACTTGTGTTCCTGATTCTCGCACAAGATTCGGTCGGAAATAGCTGCTCGCCTTTGCCTGTGCCACGCGGGACTTCTTACGATTAGCAGTCACAATGCCGGACACCTAAAACGTGGGTAAATAAACCGCTTATCATAGATACAGCGAAAAGCGCCTACGAAATGTTAGACATAAGGTTATCGGATCGTCATAGGAAAAAGGTCACCGGGAACAGTATTCGAAATGTTTTACATAGAGAACATTCCAGTGTTCGTGGAATGTTCTCTATATAGTCTCTCAGTTCCTAATAATAATTGATGAAAGAAAACTATTTGGAATCAACTAGAAGAAGTGAAATTTTTAAAAATATGTCAAAGAGAGAATAGAATATCATGTGTATTTGATGGGCAGACATCGATTGACAAGATTATTAACGTCGTAGAACATTTATTTCTTCAAGAAAGAGAAGTCAAGGAATTTATAATTAACTTAGTTTTTTAACTTAATCAGGAGAGTCAATTATTAAGAAATGAACCATAAATGATCCAATTCGATGGTGAAGAAGTGCAAGACCGTCCAGTACGACACACTTGAAAGGAAACAGAAGGCTTAACCCGCAGCAGACTTCTCTTCTTCGTCTGCCAGTAATTTTTTTGTAACCAGAACGTTTTTTCTAGTGACATCGATATACTTCCTATCATCTATAATGTACATCATTAATTACAGAAACGCACTGTATTCAAAAGTAGCGGGTCTCACTTGGTAAGGTGATAACATCAAGGTTCGCCAAGTCTTAAGAAAAAAAAAGGAAAATGAATGGAATGAATAGGAATGGAAAAATAAGAAATTGTCATCTTTTGTACCATTCGAGGAAACTCGATCGGAGTGGCAGCCAGTGAATTCCGAAACAGTTCATGTTACAGTTGGAATCTGTACAGCTGGCGCGGTCACAGGGCGTACGGACAACTCACACATTTTTATCTGTAGATCCTTCATCTTAACTGCTTTTGACCAGAAGTCAATCGGTTTTTGCTGCTTTGCAATGAACGAGTTTTTAGTTGAGCTTCAAGGTGCAAATGTCGAGCTTTTTAGTTATTTTGATTAAGTCCAATCTGGTGACACACTCGATGTAGAAAGTCATTCGATATCGAGCGACAACTGTCCCGCGTGGCGCACACAAAGGCGAGCAGCTAATTCCGACCGAATCGTCTTAACTACTTGGTATTCCTATATCAACGAGCCGCCCCAACAAGGAGCAG